AAGGTCGATTCGCACATGGAAACCTCGGACGAGGACGTATACGCCGTGGGGGACATGGTTGAGACGGAGCACGTCGTCTTGAAGCAGCCGCGCGTGGTTGCGTTGGGCGGGCCGGCGAACCGGCAGGGACGGCTTGCGGCCGACGACATGTCCGGCAAGCTGGTGCACTACCGCGGCAACATTGGCACCGTTGTCTGCAAGGTGTTTGATCTGACTGTTGGCTTTGCGGGCCTGTCGGTGTCTGCGCTGCGAGATGCCGGGCGAGATCCTCTCTGGGTTACGGTGCACCCGCCGAGCCATGCCGCCTATTTTCCTGGCTCTCATCCCATAACGATCAAGGCAGCTTTTGAGAAGAACACGGGGCGGATTTTGGGTGTCCAGGCAGTGGGGAGAGCGGGCGTGGATAAACGCATTGATGTGTTGGCGACGGCGATACAGGCTGGAATGACCGTGTTTGACTTGGAACATCTGGAACTTGGCTACGCGCCGCCCTACAGCTCGGCCAAAGATCCAGTTAATATGGTTGGGTTTGTGGCGTCCAACGTGATGCGCGGGGATTACCGGATCGTACACGCCGAGGATCTCAGCTTGAAGAAGCTGAGCGATTGGCAGGTTGTAGATGTTCGGTCTGCCGAAGAGTTCGCGACGGGCCACCTCCCGAACGCGGTCAACTTGGCCATCGACACGTTGAGGGATCGCCTAGACACCCTGGATAAGGCAATTCCAGTACTTGTGTACTGCTACGTGGGTTATCGCGGATACTTGGCCTACCGGATCCTCAGCCAGAAAGGATTCAATGTGGTAAATCTTGATGGCGGGCTCAAGGCAGTCACTGATGGAGGGTTTAAATTACAATCTTTTTGATCTGTATTTTTTAGAAGTCGGTGCGTAGCTTTCAGAAGGACAGTATCCTACAAATGGATGAATACTTTTTCTCATCGACATCATCACGAAAATACAGCAGATACACAGTGGCGTATTGCGGTGACTGTGACGCTAGCAACATTGAGTGCAGTATTGTAAACAGCTCCTCTATATTTATCCAGTATAGCTCACTGCCTTTTCTGTATACAACTTGGTCATCGGATCTCAGTACTCCTGCGTGATGGGGTTGTTGCCGCTCCACGCCATTTGCCATTCCGTCCATGCATGTCTTATCGCCCTCAACTCACTAACAAGAAGGCGATTTTCCGTATGTAGCGCCAACAGCCTGCGCCTGGCAAGTCGCAAAGTCGACCCTTTGCTCTGGTTCTTGGTGCCACGGTCTGTGAAGCCCGCCGACGTCATATCCTTCTCACTTGTACAGTCTGCCAGCGCATCCAGCAGCAACTGAAACTCATTGTTCAACCTGCTGCGATAGTTCTTCTCTACTTGGTTGTGACAGCCCCGCAGCCGTTGATCTTTTTCACCAGCAGCAGGGCTATTATTGAAACATCCGTCGTCGTCATCTACCTTTGTGTTGCGCGCCGCCCTCTTGCGGCGCGTTCTTGGCCGTCTGTCTTTCGTGGGATGTGTCTCAGTGGAATCCATAGCTGTGGACATGGAGCCAGTCTGCTGGTCATTAGACAATTGTGTCGGATGACTTTGACCGCAAGGTTCTGGTATGGGTTTGAGCGGCAGTGCCTCTTCAGGAGGTGAGGTATCATTGGAGTTGGAGCAAGTAGAGGACTCCGATATGGATGTGCGCTGATAGTGATTTAAAGACAGATCAGATACCAGGGAAGGGTACGGAAGGCGAATAAATTGGTCCATCTCTTGGCCGAACTCGGAGCCAGGTTCTTTCATGCATGGACTGGCACCATCATTGCCGGCGTTGAACAGGTTTGGCGTGGAACCAAATGCCTCGTTGGGTTGATATGAGTACTCGTCCTGGTGTGAGACGTAAACATGGGTGCTCAAGTAAAATGCAAAATACGTATGGACAGGGTCCGGCCATCTTACCAGCAAGCTATTGCATTCACCCATGTTTCCCAGCCAAGCGAGGCCGGCTTCATCCATGTCTATCCAATCCACGTCCATCTTTGGCATGAGATGTTTGGTCGGTGTCTTTGCCGGCGCAAACAAATATCCTGGATACGACTTTACAGCTTGATGATAGTTCTCAGCTATTTTTCTATTCTGCGGTCGACTTGTCTTTACAATGGTGGAGAGTTTCGCAGTCATTTATTTATACTTCAACACTATGTACATGTAAGTGGCGATACCCGTGCCCACACCAGGACGAACTTGATTGATGCCCGGGCGGATCTGGACGCAACTGCCCGCAGGTTCCCGACGTCAACTGCCAAAGATGGAGAAAAGCCCGATGGTTCGATTTTCCCACATGGATAACCACTCGCAGGCAGACCTATTACACCAGACCATGTGGCGTCCGGGTCCAGAACTTTAACCAAGTTCCAGACTCTGCCCCAGAGTTTACACGCCTCTAGGTCAACCCTGCACTGCATGTATACCTACTCTTGTCCATTAGCATGGTCCGAGGGTGTCGAGGAATCGCCGAGGGGCTCATCGTCAGAGAATCATACTTCAGTTCTCATTTCCTATCTTAAAGCCTCTTTACACGCAATCTGGTCAAAGTTACTTTTCTCAGTCCAGATTAGCCTTTGAAACTACGTCAAAAGCACCCAATACGTCCAGTCATAGGCAGTAAGTATTTACCCACTCGGTGGCGTAGAATAACGTGGAAGTGGGCAATAATACTTCACGCCTCCCACTATACAGGGCGCACTGGCTACTACCACTGCGATCGCACTGTTACGCAGTATATTTTCCCTAGAACTATCTAATATCTCCTACAAGGGGTCAACGGGAAACTCCAACAAAGCAAAACGTATATTCAGAGGTATATGAAAAACCCAACTCCCAGTAATCATCTTCTAGCACTCCGTGCTCTTAACGCGTGCTGTTTTATGATAAACGCCAAAGACATGGTATATACGATGACACCAGCCTCATTTCCAACTCAGGAAATTTAATATGTTTGTCCTTGGGTCAGGGTGGCCCTGGAAGGTTTTCTGCCTGGAAGCTTCACTCTCCGGTGTATTATATGTCGCGAAGAAGCGGTCCATTGTGTTGGAGTTGGTGACGAGCTGTGACCGAACATAGGTGGCGACACCAAGGGCTGACACACGATTTACGTTAGTAAATAGCCCATTATCGAGAAAGCGATGCGGTAAGACGCAGAGACCAACCTGAAGTGCCAAACATGAGCCCCAGCAACGGTTTGCGGAAACGGGCGGTGGCGACGGCTCTAACTGGCGCAGACATGTTGAGGCTTGAATGGTATAGAATGGTGTATTAAAATAAAAGGTGGTGTTTCCAGATGTGGATTACACTGTCAAGAAAGAGTAATGTTCGAGTAGTCTCTTAGTCTAAAATTACTGTATGCAGAGAAAAGATGCATTCTGAAACCTGTATTCGTCGAAATACTTATATCTGAATGCAACCCTGAGGATTCCGGCCGGAGCCCGTTGACACACGGGGCTGGTTTGCGGCTTGCTCCGGAGTGGAGACGACGGTGGTGTGATGCAGCGCTGCGTAGCCACGCCGGGTGGTGTGACGCGACGATGAATCTTCGCGAGCTGCTCCTGACTTGAGCACCCTCCTGTCAGCTCCAGTACTAATCGAGTAGGGCCCGGGGGCCGGTGAGCGGAGAACAAGTCGTCTTGAGGCGCGCCTTGGCTGGCGTGCAGAGCGCCCACGTGGACGGAGCGAGGCATCGTAATCGAACGATATGACGACTAACATGGCGCGCATTGGGAATGTTTTGCAACCATTTTATTTTTTGGCCCGTTCTCTATAGAAAATTTTGCCAAAGTCAGCCAACACTGTCAGGCACCTGCGGTCTGGCCTCGCCACCGAGGACTCGGCGAGGAGTCAGGACGGCCAACCCACGTACCTTGAAGTTTGAACATTTGAGCCGGACGACATATGCATCGCCGCTGGTATCTGCAACACCACTGTCAGCGTGGTGCTCAATTCTGAAGCCACGGGAATCGGCCCCGTAGACCCACGCTCTATACTTTTTCAGCCCTTCTTGGCGAGCCAATTATGGGCAAGAAGTGGCGTGTCAAAATCAGCAATTATACGACGTTTGGTAAACAAGGTGCTGCCCTTTCTATAAAGAAGCAGTGCTGGTCTGAATACTGGCCGCAGGGATCGAGGTGCATCATGGCTTGTTCGAGCTCGTTGAGCTTGGTCGTGTTCCCAATGGGACGATTGTAGACTGCAAGTGACCAAATTTGGCACACCTGTCAAGGCCCGGAAAGTTTATTGGCATGCGGGGACTGTCGGAAGATCTGGAACACCCCTGTTGGGCCGGAGATCCTGTAACACTGTCGTCCTGGTTAATCTTGGTGTTGTACACCCACTGTACGTATTGCTCGTGAGTGGTCCGCCACCATTCGCCCTGGTTATACAACGTCAACTAGGATTTACTGACCATGCCATATGCCCCAATTATACAGCGACCAGCGGCAGCCGCATACGGTGCCACAGCCGTGCGCCATGATTCCACGAACATGGGGCAGGCGGCTTTGGCTCTTTTCGAGACACATCGCGGATACTCCTCCGTATGCTTCATGTCGTAGGTCAAGAGGACGTTTTTTGCATCAGAGCTCGAGCTGGAAATCGGATTCACCGACCATCAATGTCTTTGCCTTCTCTCTCAGCCCTCGACTCGTCAACTGAGAATTTCATTCACATCAGATGGCTGTGACCACAGAACAAGTCACTCAAATAAGTCAAAACTATTCGAAAGGGAATGCAGTTGCACGATTGAAGCATGGGAAGGAGCAGAGATCCGGGACAGCGGAGGAATAATATCGCGGACGCTTGCTTACTATTTGCCATTTTGCCCCAAACTAGGAAAGCTAGGTCAGGTCAGCAGTAGCAGCAAAATTACCTCACTCCCGTTGCGTTCGACAACTCTTCCCACCATCTTTCCGAAAGACACCACCAACTCCGTTTCTTTTCGTTGGGGGCCATTCATCGCCGTCGCAATGGCTACCTCTACCGCTACCCTGGCGCAGGTCGCCGCCGAGCAGGAGCCCCAAGGTTCTCCTGAAGCAGTATGTTTCCCTCCACTATGCGCCTAGATTGCAGGAACATGGAGCCAAGTAGATGAAACTTCAGAGCCCCTTATACAGTGACAAACTTTGTCGCTTACGAAAAGGTCCCAGAGACCGTCTTCGCCAGCCTGGGGGATAAGTCGAAGCTGTCGGATGGTACACAGACCGCTGTTAACTTGGAATCCGGCCTCATTGCCGGTTTCGCTGCAGCCATTGTCTCTCAACCTGCTGATACTGTGCTTTCCAAGATTAACAAGACCAAGGGCCTGCCAGGCCAAAGTACCGTCTCCAGACTTATCAAGATTGCGGGTGAGCTGGGTGTCCGTGGCTCCTTTGCCGGTCTTCCTACTCGTCTGTTCATGATTGGCGGTCTTACTGCCGGTCAATTTGCCATTTATGGCGATATCAAGAAAGCCCTCGGTAAGTGCGCTTTGTTGGTTTCGTGACTGAACCTGACCATGTACCACCAGATGCTACTGATAGCGTCGAGATCTCCAAATAATCAGCACATTGCGAACAATTTGAAACATGTTTTTAATTTAGACGGCATAGAGAGAAGTATTTGCCTGTACAGAACTTGGGACTTACACAAAGTTGCCGGGAAGATGGATCCTTTTATTGCCACGGTACGGTTTCCTGAATGCGCCCCCCCTAATGCCAGACTGCGATATGTTGAGCTTGGAGGGGGAGGCTGCATGCGGCACTCATACCCCCCTGTCCACAGTGTCGTTTATTCACCATTACCAGGTACGAAGCAAGTTATTCTCTTAGGTCCAGGCTCCTGGGACGCATAATCCAAGGCTGCTTCCCATTGACGCAGACCGTATTTACCCGTCACTTGTATCCCACCACGCTTGCCGATAGGCAGCATCCCCGTCTCGATTAACCGAATGAGCTCATCGGCCTGCTTCCTGGTGTACATGAAACTGTCCTTGATAGTAATGCCTTGAAACATGGTGAGCATATAAGGAGGCTCAAAATTCCCGCAATGCCCCCCATAACGCTCATTCGTCCACGAGGTCGCGGGGCCCTGATAGCGGCCATCACGTAAGTCGGGTTCGTCGTAAATTGAGAGGACATGTCTATTTATTCATCCCGCATTCCTTCACCGCATCTATCTTCTGCTGGCGATGAAGGATATATCGTGCTGCCGCTGACGCCCTCAATACTGCAACCATGTTCGTCACAGTTCCCGCAAGAAGGGGCGAGGATAAAGTATCAGAAAAATCTCCAACAAGGAGTTTTAGGCGTCAGAATTTTGCCGCTTTGTTAGAGCTCTTTGCAGTACACATTCCATCTCTATGGCTGACTGTATATTGATCGGTCTAGGTTGGTCAAAGTGCGGCCACGCAGACCGGTCTGTGGAACAGTCAACTTGACGCTGGTGTTTCCAACACCCGAGCTAACAAAGCTGCAATGATATAGCAGTTTCGAGATGAATCTGGGCTTAAATCGAGCTTCACTAGGCAAAGTAAACTCTCCCATAACGGCATTGCTACGCTGTTCCAAGGCAGTCCAAGTCCGGCAGTTCTTGATTTTCGGTATAGGATAACTTGACACTACCGCTTGGGCTGCCTCATCTCAAGTTCGTTTACACAAATCGTTATAAACCTATATTTCGAATGACACTATAAATTAGAATTCATTGTTATTTCCCACATATAAGTCTTTAGAGCCTCTCTCGTCCACATTTCGCACGCACGGCCTTTTCTTCTCACCAGCCCTCAACAACTCGTACCAGCATGTGCATTCCTCCTTTGGGCTTTGCCACCACACTAGGATCAATCTTGATATTTCTCTCGTCCAACAAAGACTTGTCCTTCAATTCAAACGAGAACCGTCCAATCCAGGCGGCCACCAGACAGGCAAGCTCGGATTTCGCAAAGCTACCACCGATACAACTATGTGGTCCATGAAGAAACGTCATAAAGGCATAGTTGCTGGTCGCTCCGCCGCTCGCAGCATTGGTTGCACTCGTTCCGCCCTGCTCTGGGCTCAGCCAGCGTTCAGGCTTAAACTCGTACGCATCGGGCCCCCAGAGCGTGGGATCAGTATTGGTCGCCCACGGAACCAGCACCAGCAGGGTGTCTCGGGGAATGAACTGGTCCTGAACAGTGGTATCACCGGTTGATACGCGGACAGTCTGCGCCACGGGGCTATGGATTCGCAGGACTTCGCTGCACACAGCATTCAGGTACGGCAAGTTATCGATATCAGCGCTTGTGATGTCGGTATCACTATCAGCAGAGGGCAGGTGCTCGCGTATTTCTTTTCTGAGACGCTCCTGCATGTCTGGGTACTTTGCCATAAAGTACGTCGCCCAGATCAGCGACGATGCGGTCGTCTCGTGTCCCGCGGAGAGAAACGTCATCATTTGGTCGACCAGCGTGTCCTCAGAGAAGAGCTGGCTCCTGAGTGCGACGGTGAGAATGTCGAGCCCGGCATCTTCCTTGTTGGCCAGCAAGCCTCTCTTCTTGCGGATCAAGTCGCGAGACACGGCGCGGATGTGTTTCGAGGCTTTGTTAGCGTTCCTGACTCGGCCCAAGGGAAGGTTATGCATGATCAGGTCGGGAAGGAACGCGGTGAGTCCGATGAGAGGCATGTCCGCAGGAGATGGCTGCAGGAACTCGTAGCTCTTGGCCAGTGGGCTGTTTGGATCCTTGATTGAGCCAAAGTCGACTCCCACGCCTGCGAGGCCGATGATGTCTAATGCGCAGCGGGCAGTCCATGAGGAAATCTCCATCTCGGCGAGGCCCTTTTCATCGCATTCGGCCGTCATTGCCTGCACTGCCTCCTTGGATTTCAACCAGAAGAGAGGATACAGGTCCTTGATGTGGCGGAACGAGAAGGCCGGCAGCATGTCCCGGCGCTGCTTTTTGTGCTCGTCTCCTTCGACAGTCAGTAGCCCCCAGCCAATAATGAAGGCGAGGAATCTGCGAGCAAATTTGGGCTTCTCAAAGCTGTAGCACTTTGTGACGAGAATCTCGGATAGGGCCTGTGGTGAATTCACAATGACCATTTCCTGATTGCCATGCCACAAGACGCGGAGCATGCCGTTGTTGGGATTCTCTGTGATCCTATATACTTTTCTTTCAGCATCACATGTGTCGCCTTGGAAAGAACGAGTCCTCTTACCATTTCTTTGCTAAATAACCTGGGCCGTACTTTCTAAGCTCGATGCCATGGCCAACTAGAGGCAATCCGCCTTTTACTCTCGGCAGGTTGCGAAGGGGCGACAGGAAGAACGGGTAGATCAGGACGGCATAAAACAGGAACAGGGAAATTTGTCCAAAGTAAAGGGCAAAGAAGACCTGGAGAGCCTGGCCATTGCGCTCGTACAAGTGCAGTAATTTCGGTACGGCACAGCCAACGAGGCTGATGCCAACCATGTACTTGAGCGGAATGTGCCGTATACCTGTCATGTCGGGTACGCTTCTTGGTGAACATGTAAGTGGCGGTCGGTGTCAGGATGGGAGGTGTGGTGCCGTGAGAAATTAGATATAAGTTGAATAACACGGTGTCTGCGGGGTGCGGCTTTGGGGGCCGGGGCGGGAACGGCGTCTGATGTTCGGCTCCGGCTCCGGCCCCGTGCGTTGCGTGCGTGCAAGTTGAAGCATGAAACGTCGATATCCAGGCCGAATCCCGATGCACTTCTTTCCTGGGGAGACTACGCACGTGTATGACCGTGCCTTGACAGAGACGGTACTCGCAGCCTAGCCCTCCTCGAGGTCCCTAGGCGTGCTGGTTTGGCCCACGGCACTCTCCAGCATTTCCCCCACACGCTGCAAGATCCCGAACGTTATCCTCCCGAATACCTCCAGGTATGCCACGACAAATCCCCGAAGGAAGTTGTCGCAAAAGAATTGCCACCTTTCGCCAGGAGGGCGGGAGACGCTTGCTAGGAGGTGGTTGGCGATGCATCCCACCAAGCCCATGATTGAAAAAACCAAGTAAAACTGCAAGAGGTAGCAAGATCTATAATTGGTACCACATTGTGTTAGCCAGAAAGACAATCATGATGATCATGTCATGTGCTCGCGTGGTCCATTGTGGGGAATGATGGAGACGAAGAAAAGTGTGACACGGGCAGGGTGACTGGGCTTGAAATGTCGTGTTCAATTCAAATTATAATAATCGACTTTGGGGTATCAAGGGTCCTTGGATTCCGCGAGGCCTTGGGGGACCCGAGGTTCGGTGAGGACTAGGAGGGAAACCCAAGAAGAGAGAATACTGACTCGATAAAGGATGTGATGGAATGAAATATCCAGGTTATAAAAGTGAGAGTAGAATAAAAAAGATCGCGTATACACAAAAGCATAAGAGACAATATACTTATTACAGCCATATTGTCTCAATAATAATTTATCAAGTCGCGAGGAAGAGTAGTAAAGCTGCGTGTATACAGGCGGTCAGATAGCGTTGTAGTGTGTTTCTACAGAAATGAGACCGTGTAGGTATTTACAAGTTTTTGGCGTGGAGAGTATAATATTACATGTATTACGTGTAGACTTTTTAGGGTTTTCGCTAAAAGTCTTTTTAATTCACCTCAAGCGCTAGCAAACTGTCAAGTGCCCTAAACCAAAAAACCGTAATAGACTACGTCACATGCCGTAAATACACCAGATACATTATAATATTCTAAAAATTGGAATTCTTGCGCCTAATATTACGAGTTCAGACCTAGATTATAATGGCAGGAATGTTAAGGTGGGAGTTATTTCGCTTTGTAGTTAAGTAAGATTATAAGTATTATATAGCGGCTCTAACGCTTAT